TATTTTCCAAGTATAAATAACTATTTCCCAAGTGCAAATATTTTATCTTTCTATAGTCTCAACTAAATTACCGTGTTTCAATAATTTTAAAAATATCCTAAAGTGACTCCAGTGATCATCACAACTATTCCAATACTTTAATCTCTATAATATGATTCTACCTACTTTCATTTAATCCGTTTTTATAAGTGCCACTTATATCTATTATTTTACTTAGTGTTTACTCATTTAGTGCTTCATCGTGAGGATAATCCACATATCTTACCTATTTAAATTTATCAATTTTTTCATTCCTCCTATCGTTTATTCTATAACTTATACTACTCTAAATATTTTCCCTTATAATAAACTTACTACACCATCCCACATATTAATTTCATCAGTGCTTAATCATAAAACCATGAAATAATACATATTCCTTTAACAAAACTATTAAACCTTTCCCAATAAGGTCTAGTAGGGGTTAAATCTAGATCAATCAGAGAGCTGAATCTTACTTATTCAAATTATTACCATTATTAAACCAAATTTTCCAACCACTTTGTGACCTTGTCAAGTGAGTCAAATATGTGTATAGTCCCATCCTTAGTAACTATAAGTTTAGTTGGAAATCCCCATCGATATTTTAGATCTTTTTCCCTCAGACGCAGGGTAGCTGGAATAAATTGTTTTCTCGCTTGCCTAGTTTGAAAGGACAAATCTGGGAAAACTTTTATATCTTTAAATTTGCCTTGATCTCTTTCCATTTGTCTTGCTGCTTTTAAAATCTTTTCTCTAAATGAATAAGAATGACAGGCGATAATTATATCTCTTGGAAAATCGTCTGGAAGTGTTCTTGGTTTGTTTAACCGATGAGATCTTTCAAGAAAGTCCCTCTTATCATCGATATTGATTTTGAGAGCTTCAAAAAATTCCGCAAGAAAATTTGCCAAATTGCCCTGCGAAATAGATTCTGGTATGTTTCTTATTCTTAAATTGTTTTTTCTTCCTCTATCTTCTATATTAGTTAATCTCTCCTCCAATTCATTAATCTTCGTTTGTTGTTTTTCTATAGATTCTTTTTGCTTCTGTAGGAGGAATTCCAGATTTTCTATTTTCTGTTCATTTATTTTAACTTTTTGTCCAACAGATATTATTTCCTCCTTTAACTTTACAAAGTTCCCTTGCATTTCCAACTTGATTTGATCCAATTGTTGATCTAAACATTGTTTTAAATATGCTTGAGTGATCATTAGTTCCTCTGAAGATTCTTGTGGTTCTACCTCCTTTAGATCTCCTGTGTGCTTACTTAAAGGCATTTTATTTGGCGTAGAAATCAAAGAGGATTCCAAAATGCTTTTGTCTACTGGAGCATTAAAAAAATTTGAAAGTCTCTTTTCCTGTTTATCTTTTTTTTCCCGGTCTTTTTTTGAAAGAGACTTCAAGTCTTGTTTCTGATCCGCTGTTTTCCTTGTTGTCATTATATATTTTCTTTCTTTTTCCTTTCTTTTCTTTATTTATTATTTTTTTTTTCTTTATTTATTTGTTTTTCCCAATTTAACAAAAAAAAATTCCGCTTTCCTTTAGTTATAGTAGTTCAATTTTAGATGTTGTGATTCCAATTCCAATTATTAAGCGTGCTGCACCCTTTCGTGCTTGATTAATTCAGCAGTATGGCATCCACTCAAGTTCTTAACAATTCAATAATATACAGCTCAAACCAATTCTTAGTATGTCAATATGGCTCAGAACTTGATTGCACATTTACATCTAGTGCTCGCTTCTACTTCAAGAATAGAGTTCAACTCCTTCACTTTATATACCAGTCTCATGTAACTCTGATACTTCCTCTATTTCAAATAAGAGTATGAAGTTCCACTCAGTCTCTTTATATGCCAGTCCCTTAGCAAGCGTCTTCTTAGATCTAAGCTCGCATCCACTGCATTATAAATTACCCATGCAGTTTAATTCAGTTTAATTGGCAGTGTTACTTCCTTATATCGCCTTGTGTAACTCATTATTTCGGCATTATTCAATAGTTATTTGCTCGAGTTTTTTTTTTCTTTTTTTTTTTTCAATTATAAGTTTCTTATCAACTCTTATTAATTCAGTGAGACTTTATCTCATTTCACGCTTGAGTTTTGTGCTCACCTCTACTCCAGTATAAAAAATTCCACTCTGCCATTTGTTTACCAAATACTTTGAAAATCAGCTTCTTAGATTCAAGCACACTTCCACAGTGGTTTTCAAGAAGGCTGACTAAATCTCCTTACACGCTTAAGTTTTGTGCTCACCTCTGCTCCAGTATAAAGAATTCCACTCTGCCTTTTGTTTGCCAAACACTTTGAAAATCAGCTTCTTAGATTCAGGCACACTTCCACAGCGGTTTTCAGGCAGGCTGCCATTCCACTACCTTATCTTGCTGTGAGACAAAGTTGTAATAGAAACGAGGAAGCAAATAATACAGATTTCCCTTCAGTCACATATATTCAACCCGCACAGCAAGCGAGCCCTTCAGTGCAGTCTTGGATTGCCGCTCTTGTGGGGACATGCATCGAGTGTCTGTGCTATTTCTTCGATATATATTCGGCGTTTCTCCTCTACCCCCGGTGGGACTCCAGCTCAGCTTAATCCCGCGGCGTGCACGCCACGCTACGCACCCCACGTATCCCTCGCGTCGTCACGTCGACATCCCGCCCCCTTTTATATTAAAAATTCAATTATGCAGTCGGTACAAAAAAATCTGGTAACTGATCCTCAATTTAAAGATATCAAGCTATATTCAGATTTATCTTTGTTGACTAGGTTGGCAAGGAAAAAATTTGCCGTCCAGACCAGTATTTTGAGGAAGCATGGAATTAGATATAAATGGAGCTTCCCCACAGCACTAATGGTATCCTTTCAGAACCAGCAATTTCTTTTCAAAGAAGCTTCGGCGGCCCAAGAAAGAATCCAATTTTGGAACTTACAGTAGCCTTCCTTTTGAGTTGACCAAATAATGATTACCTATCTGGAATAAGACATCTTTTTTCAAATCAATGTCTACCTATTTGGTATTAATTAATGTCTAAATTACTACTACTGGAAGAAGTGTTTTTTTTTTTTTTGTTTTTTTTCCTTTCTTCCATAAACTAACTGTGAAGACAGATTAGGTTAGTGAATGCCCAAGTCTAATGGACAGAGTTATGTCTCGAGTTAAGAATGTCCGTTTACAAACATGGAAATATGGTAATGTTTGTAATTTAGGAGGAGGAGAGAGAGGGAACGGGGGGAAGAAAAGAAAAGGGAATTTGTGTTGTTTTAATATGAGGGGTGGGATACAAGCTTTGGTTTAAGGCAATGTCAACCTGTAATACTGTTAAGAAGTTATTTAATTATGATACAACAACTAGGTACTATATATAACTTTCTGTTAAGTTGCCTCTCTTTCCCTACTCTCTTTTGTTTGATATAATTATTTACATAGGAGATTGGAAATTTTTTATGATATATCTTTGAGGAGTAACTGAAGGTGGTAAATTAGATAATTATAAGAGCGGTATAAGGTACATATGTAATTTTTATTTCACATATTTTTCACATATTTTGTGGTAATACCGTTTGGTATACTATTAACCCACTTTTTAAATTATGGAGTTTGATAGTAAGGAACTTGAGAGATTCTACACTTGTATTTTAGTAGTAATATAAGCTTTGGTCATAACAATCACGATTTGATATTATTCAGCACTAATAAGTATGGTAGGGCGTATTTACACAAGAGTGATAATACAATTTTACAGTATGAGTCAATTTATATATGAAATAATAATGGATGTTTATGGGTTATAAAGGGGTAAAGCAGGTGAAATACTTGGGATTAGCATGATGATACACAAGAGGCAATGTTGATGTAGATCACAATAGAGAGGGTGAGTTGGATTATGTCTATATATTTATCTAAGCAATACGTAGATAGAATGGTTAAAGGGGGGGAAGGAGAGGAAAGATCTGAACTATTCTATTTAAGAGTTGGAGGGATATGTGGAATAGAATCAGAATAGCAACTTACTGCAATATGGGTTTTAAACTAATGCGATCCTAAACCCCAGACAAGTTGATTTATATATTGAAGGCTATAGTATTAGCCTGGTTTTTGATGAGGTTTGTTTGTTTTTTTTTCCTTCTCATTAGTGTTTATAATTTTGTATTTACCGGTAGGTATATTTAGATAGATATATGTTTATAGGTCTCCCTATTCCTCTTCCTTTGGGATATGCTCCATATTCCTTATTACTTCTGGGAATTATAACGATTGGGGGTAGGGAGAGGAGAGGGAGATTAGTACCAATATAATGGTTAGCAACTTAAAACATCGAGTAACGTTAGTTTGGTAATATATTGGGTTCTGGCTCTAGGAGCCAGTGTGGTCAAACATTACAAGTAAAATCGATATCACTGTGGAGCGCTATTGGATCAACTATGGGTTAGATATTTGGAATGAGGTTTGTTTTTTTTGAAGAGTTTTGAGTTCTTCCTCCTCTCGCCGGGGTCTCTTTCCTGCAATTATAGGCAGGTCTCGTTCAGGGGGCTCCATGCACATGCGTGTGTGCGTATATATGTATGTGTACATATACATGTGTATGTTTCCCCACTGGATTTCCAAGAGGTGGTCTATTCCCCCTCTTGAATTATTCTTTATGTTTTATGTATTTTACAATGTAAATGGGTTCTTTTTTGTATGTTCTGATTTTTTATTTTTTGTTTTTCTGAGACTCGATTTGGGGTGTAATCATGACAATGTGTGTTATGATGGCACTTAATGTGATATCATGGAATGTCCAGGGTTTGAATTCACCACAGAAGAGGGGAGCGGTCTACAAATTCCTAATTGGAAATGATATTGATATTGCTTTTATTCAGGAGACACATTGGATTAATCCCCCAGAGAAACTCTGGAAGTTTAAGAAATTCCCTTTGTTATTTTCCTCCAACATGGAGGGGAATAAAAAAAAAAGAGGCACCGCTATCATAATTTCTAGTAGAATTAATTTTGAAATGATACACCTAACTGGGGATCTGATGGGAAGATATGTGATACTTGTTGCTAAACTTAATGGCTCTATATATACTTTGGTTAACGTTTATGCACCAAATTCATGCCCAGGAGATTTTTTGTACAAAATTATGGAAAGGGTTGATGAATTAGCATGTGGTAACATCATAATTGGGGGAGACTTCAACTGTGTATTGGATCCAGCACGGGATAAAAGCCATAAGAATGTTAGAGACTATAAATTTGTAAATACCCACGTCTCCGAGTTTTCTAAATTTTTAGGCAGGAATTCCCTATTTGATTGTTGGAGGACTTTGAATCCCTGTGAGAGAGATTACACTTTTTTTTCACATGTTCATCAGACCTATTCCCGAATAGATATGTTTTTGGTGAGAGCGGGGTTCTTGAGTTCTATTATTAAATCCAATATTGGATCTATAGTTGTATCAGATCATGCACCAGTATCCATTAAGGTTAAGTTAAAAGGTGGTTTTAGACCACGGACAAGGTGGAGACTTAATGAAAGCCTCTTGAAATCAGAATGCAATATTGATTTTTTGTCATCTGAAATTGAAAACTTCCTGATTACTAATGATAATGGGGAAGTTTCCACGGCAACAGTATGGTGTACCCTTAAAAGTTTTGCAAGGGGTTTATTGATTAAACTTGGCTCAGAGTCCAAAAGGAAGAAGGGAGAATCCTTGCAAGAGTTAAGAATAAGATTGGCAAATAAGGAACGTCTAAATAAAAATATGGTGAATAAAGATCTAATTGAAGAAATAGCTAAATTGAGGGAATCTATCAAAGAAAGAATCTATGATACGGTCAATAAAAATATACTATTCCTTAAACAAAGATGGTACCATAATAACAATAAAATAAATAAAGATCTCTCTAATAAAATCAAGAACAATCTCAAAGATAAATTTATAAAAAAAATTGTCTTAGGTGATAAACATTTAGTGTCACCAAACGATATTGTAAATGCATTTGCAGAATTTTATAAATCTTTATACAATCTAAAGGAGGTAGGAAGGAGTAGAGACGAAATGGATACATTTTTGAGTAACCTTAAATTACCAAAAATTAATCAAAGCAAGTTGGAAATGCTAAATGCTCCATTTTTATTATCAGAAGTAACAGAAGTAATAGAGAAGTTGAAATCGAATAAGGCTCCAGGCCCAGATGGTTTCTCAACAATGTTCTATAAAACCTTCTCTAGACTTATTTCTCCTATCCTATTAGAGATGTTTATGAAGGCGTCCACGGACAATCCCTTTCCCAATGAGATGCTATTGGCCTCTATCATTCCTATACCTAAAGTAGGGAAAGATCCAACACTTATTACTAACTACCGACCCATATCTCTCATTAACCTAGATATAAAGATATTCTCTCAAATACTATCCAATTGGAGGTAATTGGAGATCTGATTGATGTTGATCAGTCTGGATTTGTGCGAGGGAGAGGTACTACAGATAATACACGTAGGACATTCAATTTAATACATAGAATAAAGGAGCATAAATGGGGATCTGTTATTGTGGCCCTCGATGCCGAGAAGGCCTTTGACAGAGTCAATTGGAGATTCCTGGACTCTGTCATGGGCCAATTTGGCTTAGAGGGTCAGTTTAGACATAATACTCTGTTGTTATATAGGAGTTCTACTGCCAAAATAATTAACCCTCTTGTTGAGTCTGACCATTTTGAGGTCAAAAACGGTACTAGACAGGGTTGCCCTTTGGCCCCCCTGTTATATATTCTTACAATTGAACCTTTGGCCACTATGATCAGACAAGATACCAACGTAAGGGGGATTAAGTCTCTTAATGGGGAAACCAAGGTCTCCCTTTTCGCAGACGATGTCCTCCTTACGCTGACGGACCCGATGGTTTCAATTCCATCAGTACTTGATATTATATCTAATTACAGTAGCTTTTCGAACTATAAGATCAATATGAAAAAAACCCAAATTTTAGCCTCTTTTTTATCTGAGGCTCAGAAAGATTTTTTGACAACACATTTCCAATTCTCATGGGCAAACAAAACTATTGGTTATTTGGGGATCAAAATATCCTTTGATATAGAGAGGATGATACAATCAAACTACGATACATTACTAAGAGATCTGCAACAACTGGTAGATAACTGGAGGAAGATTGAGTCCTCATGGATAGGAAGATTAAATATGATCAAGACATTTCTGATACCTAAACTTATTTACTATTTTAGGGCTATTCCTTATAGAGTGGGGAAAGGTATTCTTAATCGTTTTCAAACTTTGATTTCCAAATGTATTTGGGCTAATAAACCACCTAGGATAGCTTTTGATACTCTCCGAAGGAGTTACCAGAAGGGCGGTATAGCATTTCCAGATGTTGATAAAATCCATGAAGCATGTATGGCGACTCATCTTTTACAGTGGCTAGATAAGGAATGGGGGTCTATATCTTGGCTTACTCTAGAACAAGAAGATAGCCCTAGATATAGATTGTTTGCTCTCGTTTGGATGGGTTTGCTAAATTTGGGCGAATTGGATACCAAGAATTTTTCGAATCGAATATTGATAGATATGATTAATACTTCTAGAATTCTAAATAAAAAATTGAAGCTAGAAGACAAGTTACTATATAGAGTCCCATTAGTGGTCCTACAACACATAATGGATAATATAAATGTTCAATCTTGGATACAACTAGGCCTAACGAAGATCTCGGACCTATGGGATGGATTTAAACCCATCCCATTTATACAATTGAAAGAAAAGTTTAACCTTCCCCCCAGAGATCTCTTCCAATATCTAAGGATTAAGAATTTTATTTTATCTCGGACTATACTTAAGGACCACATTGTTAATCCCCTTATTGTATTATATAAAAAGAAGGGAGGGATCTCTAGATTTATTAAGGTGCTAGAATCAACGGAACAAGACTCTCATGCTACCTCCTTTATTAAATGGGAACAAGACATTGGGGAATCCTTTTCACTTCTGGAGTGGACTAAAGCTACACTCTTAGTTAAGCGTTGTATACACAGTGTTTCTCTTTATGAAACACATTTAAAGATAATATATAGGTGGTATATGGTACCGGCTAGACTATATAAAATATCATCTGTTCACTCTAAGTACTGTTGGAGATGTGGAAATGAGGAGGGTACTATCTACCATATATGGTGGGAGTGTCAAGGTCTTGATAGTATAAAAACCCAAATGCTTGGCCTTATTAACTCTATCTTTAAGGAGATAAAAGCGATTAGTCCTCAACTTTTTCTCTTTAATATTGGTTTTCCCTCACAAGACAAATATCAAAAATATCTTTTGACCCATATATTTTTTGCCATTAAAATATGTATAGCAAGGGCTTGGAAATCCTCTACTCCAATAATATGGCATAATATTATGGAGCAAATAGATTACCAATACACGATGGAAACAAATCCTTTCTTCGGTATCAGAGACGTGACCAAACTATGGTTACCCTGGACAAATAGATAGAACTCACGATGTCATATTGTGGTTCCCCCCATTTCGAGTCTCAGAGGATGTAATTTATTCTTTTTGTTTTTTGTTGTTTGTTTAAATTTTGGCTATTCTTGTAATATTCACTTTTGTATATGGTTGTCTCAATGTGTTGGAGGTCTGCCTTTGAGGTACCCCACATGTAAATGTAAAAAATTTTATATGACAAATAAAGAAATATAAAAAAAATTTTTGCAAGAAAACTAAATATATCCTCCCCCTTGTGTGGTTTTAGTTTTTCCAACATTTCAGTGTCCCTGTTGTTAATTTTATTAATTGTGTTAATCTGTCTTGCTTATTTCCATATATTATTTTATCATTGTCCTGAAATTTTACAAGCGTGGTCAGTCTACATGCCATTTGAGTCGGCAGTCATATTTTAAACAATCTATTCCTTTGTTTGTCATTTAGGCTGTATTTGTCCACATTTGACTCAAACATTCCAGCATTAGTAAATGCATCCACTGACGTGTCATAAACTGGATACATTTCACAATTTTCATTAATTGTTCATGTATTTTCAAATTAAGTTTTGCAGCTCTGTCTTGAAATTTATATTTCTGCAAATCACTCTGTGAGGATACATTTTCACTATCTATTGGTTCTGGGATTAGATTCTGTGTCTGTATTTTTCTTGTATTAACACACACTTGCTTAACTTCATTTCTAAGCTGGCAAATAAGATCATTTCTTAGTTCAACTCTATCCTCTAATTCACAGACTGTTTCTGACTGTTTACAGCATGTGCTCTCTGTTACATTGTTACACTGTTCATTTAAATCTGATTTGTCTTCTGTTAACCCATTGAAATCTACTTCTTTTTCTGATATTGCATTGTAAGTACAGACTAGTTTCATAACATTTCTGATCTTTTGTTTTTTCTTATTAACAAACAATTTCTTGTCAATTTCACTATTGGCAATTTCACATTGTGTGTATAAAGATTGCCACAATATAGCATCTGAATAGCTGCTATTACATGCAAACTGCAATTTACTTCTCTCTGCAATATCATTTATGAATTCCACAATTCATTTGTTCCAACAAAATCTAACTTTTCCTTATTCCAACATGCCAATAACCTCTTACTTAACAACATATACAAGATTACACAAGGTTCCTAACTAGGTTATTCGTCCAGCAAATATACATTTTTTTCCCCTCACATTCCTCACTGAGTTTACAAGCATTTCACCCATTCACCCCCCCCCCCCTGTAGCCAATACTCATAGCAGTCATAGCAAGAGAAAGCAACAAAGAAGGAGGGGGGGGAGGGAGGAAGACTTGCAAGCACAAAGTTTTTTAACCATGTGATTGCCTAAGCACAGCTCTCCTTAGGACAAAAGATAGAATAGGAGAGTAACGATACAGATTGTATAGATTACAATTAACATATATGGTACCCAACAAGACATACACAGACAAAAGCACAAAATACAGATGTAATTAAATCACAAAGTTCTTAAAATAAATGCCGGCTTATAATAACTCAGGTCACATACATAGAAACACGCAAACACACATACAACAACTTAACTCTTTGTTCGTTGTTTTTATTATTTCAACAAACAAATACACCAGGATATTGTCTATCCTGATCTAAAACAATCCGCCAGGAAATTTACTATCCTGATCTAAAATAATCCGCCAGCTTTTTTTTCCAAACTGAACTTAAAAACAACAAAAGAACCGCCACGATCTAATTTTAATATAAATCGGACAAAAAACAAAAAAAAAAAAACGCCAGGGGCTATTCTGCACACCTGAACTCAAAAGAAAAACAACAAA